TGACGAGGAATCTCCTCAATCGATGGAAAACTGGACGATAGATTGGAACGTGTAAACAGACAACACAGTTCGATGAAACGGACATTTCTCTCATACGACGAATGTAATACAAATTATCGTTGCGTGTAATCGGGGCTTAATAATGCACCGTCGATACACTTTGAATGATTTAGGAATCGGGCTTCAACCCTACGTGTCAGGGCCAACTCGGGGTGGGAGAGATACAACATTTTTCCCGGGAAAAAAGACAGAGATACTGGGGAAAAGAAATTCTCCCCGCACACGAATTGAACTCAGGTTTTCTATCTACGACGGTGGAAGTGCCTAACTGCTACACCACAGAGGCCGGTGCAAGTTGTTTTGGGGTGGTGAAGCAGAGCCCCAGCTTGTAACCCATTTAATATATAGAGTCTGCATTTTTTATATAGTATGTTTTCTAAAGGCATTTTTGCTGTGCCATGTACCTCCCAAAAACGTTTGTGTGTAATTTTTTTTGGGTTTTGTTTTGGGTTCCCTCATGTCCTGAAGGCATTTACAGTTGAACCTATAAAACTGTGGGTGAGGGTCCTGCGAGGAAATTCACTTTAAACCATGTGCACGATTGAACATAGAAGACAAAAGAAAGCCAGTCACCAAAAATCAAATGAAATCGAACTTACCTTAAATTGGTTTTTCTCCACCGTGCATAGAAGAAAGCCATACGTTTCAGTTAAAATATTTACAAATTTTGAGGCCACTAGAGTTCTCTGACCATATAATTTTGGCGTGCTTTTCAGGGGCAAAAAATAATAATACAAAAACCAAACAAAGCAAGAAAATTACTTCTATAATCCACGTAAAGCAATGGACGCCATTAAGTCGTTTGTCTTTCACATGACACGTGACGTAAATAATAGCTACGTGACGCCAATTTTTATGTTTCGTTTTAGTAGAGGTTTTACGGCACTCGCAACTGCATAAGGCCATATGAGCGCCAGAAGATTAAAGGTGTTACAAGAGAGTAATAAACATAAAAAAGAAGGAGGGGAGATAAGGGCGATAGATGTTTGATAGGAAAGAAGAAGCAAACCATACCAGAGCTCCCGCCAACCACCCACTCCTATTTTTATTGTTAGACGCATGTGCATCGGGCGCGGACTCATACTTATATTCGAATAGAATGTACACTTGTCCGATCAGACGGATCTGTCGGATCGAATCGGGCCAGACAGTTATACGGGATGCCCACTACGGATGGGATCAGCCGATCGCCGAATCGGTCGCCTAAAAAACAAACGTGTTTGTTTTCAGTTTGTGGCGATCGAGTCGGGCGATCGGCCCGATGCAGCTGTAGTGGGCTCCCCGTATAAGACTGATCAACGCAGACACAGTCATGCCGGGATAAGCCAGACGTTCAGCTAAGAACGCGATCATTGCCTGTAATCTTTTATTTTACAAGTGCTTTACGGCGCTCGCAACTGCATAAGGTCATATGAGCGCGCGGGAAACACCAAACACTTTTAGTTGGAAGGAAATTTTGAACTTTGCCCGGGTGGCGGCCGAAGCCCTCTCTTATCGATTTTAGACGGCCAAGGGATCTTTAACGTGCGCAACTTGCACACGGGCCCTCCGAGATTTTTCGCCCTTGTCCGAGAAGGCTAGGTGTAGATCTTTCCTACCAGAAAATCAGGGGTGTGGCAGAAAGACAGCAATTAGGAGGAGCCAAGGAGTAGCAGTAGAAAGGCTGCAGAAAGCGTCAGGAGCCCAGAGGAGGGGGCGAAGGAGGTGTGGGCGTGGGGGCAGAAAATGGAGACGAAAACAGACGACAGAACATTGCAAGAGAGCAGGATAGGAGGTGAAAGGAGACAATTGTAGGGAAGAAAACTTTTCGGTCGTTACCCGGATTCGAACCCGGGACCTTTTAGTGAGAGGCAAACACCTTAACCTCTTGGCCACGAGAGCCCCCGCCTTTAATCTGCTGCTGATAAGAATTATATAATATATTATGCCCACAACATTCATAAAGCAACGAACTTCAGGAAATAAACAATGTCTTCTTTTCTGTTCGACCAGTTCCTCATTTGCTGTTACTTCAATCGTTAAAACATTACTTAAGTCACATGATTCATAATGCCATGACAAATGATGATGATGAGGATGATGATGATGATGATCATCTTCAACACTACTACTACTACTACTACTACTACTACTACTCCT